TGTATTTAAACATAGTAGACGTGCTAATATTTTTTGAAACATTTTGGGTTACAATTATAGTTTGGTTATAATTATTAATAAGTTATTGTTTTTCAAAAAAGATCAAACACACATCGACAGGCTAATATGATCAGCTAAGATAGGTGTTAGGTCTTATGTAGTCAGACAGTTAGTGCGGTTACTTTGACGAGAATTTTCAGATAATACCTGAAGGGTGTATACAATATAAAGAGTTTGCGTGTAGTTTCCAAGCCTAAACTATATCATGAAAAGGCTTATTCTGAAATTTGAAATAAAAATTACTCGACCGCTGTATATTATTAAGAGAGAAACGGTCGATCGCGGCTTCTCGGCGACCCTCGATCGCCATGGCAACGCATCGATTGTGTCCGGGCGTTGGAACTATTCCAAATTACCTGCGGGGGACCTGAAATAATTATTTTTTATTATTGTTTTGCTCCGCTCGCCGTCCACACGAAGCAGTATAAAACTCACAAGATATCGATCAAGTTTGGTTACACCGAGTATTTTTGCATGTACCTACATATATATGATTATGATAATAATTTGTCTTTCACTACACGCGAGAATTGATGTGCGAAAAAAAATACGAAATAATGGTAATTATTCAAAATATCAAGTATATTCGGCCATTTGAAAGGCGGCGCCTAGTATATAATTAATTATCTTTTGAAGAAAAATGCTTTTGTGATTTTCCCATATCGAAAGGGGTTATAGTAAAAGTATGGAGATAGCCGTTATAGGTACTCATATCGATGATAAATGTTCAAATGTTAATCAGCCTTTGTATTTAATATATTTCATTATGATTTATGCAGCGCAACCTACACACTTGCAAGCATACGCGTATACGAATCAACAACGGGCGCGTCTGCCCGTCACTATACGCAATAATAATTAAATATAATATAAAACTTGACTAAATCGCAAACAAATAAACGAGACAATTATTGACAGTGGCGTAAGCAAGGGTAGGGTTCTAGAGTTCTGTCCCCTAAAATGTCTTCCTTTTACAAAAAAATCGTATTTACCACCATTTCAATACACAGAGTCGATCAATTGTAGGTCATTTGTAATAGACATAAAATAATTTGTTAAATATGACAAAGACGTCGATAATCATAGTTTCAGTTTTTTAGCTGATTTAGAATATTGCTAAACGTTTGCCATGACAATTATAGAAAATGGAGGGATGTCCTCCCACCGTATCCCCTCACTTCGACCACTGTATAGATGAACAGATGTCCAAGTTAAACACTCGAGTGTTCCAAATGTAGACTAAATTTGAGACTAACTATAATTTGTTATAACCAATTGTATAAAAACTGTTTAGAAAAAATTATGTAAAGAATGTTAACCGAACTAAAAAGCATGAGTACACTACTGCTTATTGATATTGTTATGACAGCTGCACACAAAATAATGACACTTGTGTATACAATAATTTATCTGTCGTTCTACGATAGCTTTCACCTCAAACCATCGTAGGTATATTATCGATGAAAAGCGTTCAAAGACTAGTCAAACTCATGCAAGCGGAAGGAGGTATGCTAGTGCTCCGCAGCGTTTTCGTTTTCCATTTGCTCAAATGCTTACCTCAACTATTATAATCGTGTATGTTTCAATATGACATAGGTACTACTTAGTAAGTGTTCGATACCATCCAAAGTTATTTTCCTGATCTCAGCCCACCCTCCCCATCCGCAGCTTCGGCGTATCGTAATCGACACCCTTCGACTATACGCGCCGTGCGAACATAATTATTATAATATTATAATATATATTGTCATGAAGAAGATGTTCACATTGACCGGCAAGTAGGGCACTACAATATGCTCGATGTCAGACGGTGCAGCGGAGCGGCGCGTAGTATTTTATGGGCGACCACCCGCGTGCGTCTCATGACCATAGTGACAAAATCGGTTTTTACGAGAAGCACGCGCCCTCCTCTGGGGTGGGGGTGGTGGACGGGTGAAAACATATTGTGCAAATCGACAATGCACGCGCACGCGTGTGTGTTAATATAATATACAATAATAATAATAATAATAATAACAATAATATATTACGTATATGTATAATAATAAACGATATATTTACTGGATCACGTGCTCGGCCACTTAACCGACCTAGTGTATCCGTTTCACCGATTTTCACACGGTGTCGGTACGCGAGCGCCGTTCCCCTCTCGCCGTGGCGTTACAACTACCCGCGGGGTGGTGGATTTTTTTCCTGTGTTTCCACCGTATTCTCGTACGCACCCCCCTCTCACGCCGGTGGACCTTGACGGCACGCTGCCCCGCTCTGCAGTTGACTCTCGATCGCCACCAACAATGCGCAGATAATTGGACGGAATGATAGTGTACAACAATATCATATTATGATATATTATATTGTATTATAATAAAATATAAGAAAATGTTTTA